CATTATCTTATAATATTACGCTGCCTGATGAGATATTATTTTCAAACACATCACTAGTTATATCTTGATGCTAGTATGAGAAGTCTTATATATTTTTGCCAAATTTATCGTATGTTGGACTATATCCAATCGGTTTTTAATTATAACTTAGAATAAAATAAGCACATCTTTTTTTGGACCCCACGAAAAAGCTAGTTCCAAAAAAATAACGCTAAAGAAAATGAAAATAACCACCATAAACTTCTTTTAACACCTCGTACTTTTGATCTACGTTTATATTTCTTTTTTTATGACGGATCTTAAAGTGGGTCATACTTTTGCTACAGTGTTCCTTGGGATGTTATAAAATATTACCTAATCATAAATTGTTGCAAATTACATATTTTCCAATGATGCTATATTTTAATGGAAAGAATGGAAACATTGAAAAAAAGCAAAAACGGTAAGAAATATTAAAGACTAAGAGAGACTTGGACATTTTGGTAATGTTTTAAGAGGCGCCAAGTATCTGCGACGAAACAACATTCTGGGAGGAGAAATTAATGGAAAAGAAGCCAATGAAGACGAAGACTTAACAATTCGAGAGACTAGTTTGGGATCAACTCCAATCAGCAGCACATAAAATCCCTATAGTGATATTATCTTCCTACCTTCGCTAGGGATAGAACTAGAAGAAGGAGAAAGCTAAAATGTTCGTCCCATTAACGTATAATATGTAAAAAATTAATAGTTGTCCGATTTGTAGGATACAATATATTTTTTAATCTTAAGCTCGATGGTGTCTACGGATAGCGGAAAAAACTGATCGTCCTCAACATGCTAAAATGACTTTTGCTTAGAATTATTTTCATTGCCCCTGCCTGTGTAATTTTTCATGAAACCAATTTCGGGACCACCTGTTACATTTCGCGCGTATGCAAAAATGTCGGAAAGTTTATTTTACGTGCCACTTTAATGGCAGACGCGTGGGGAATCGGGAGCAAAATAAAGGAGATCGTTAACTGAGGGTTATTTAAAACTCGTTAAAAATGAGACCCGTTGGAAAACGCGACATGTTCGAGCGTTTTCGATACGCCGGAAATACCGTTAGTTTTCCTTTCCGGGTTTAAATTCGGCGAGAGTTTTCCGATATTTTAGGTTTGTCAGTCGATTGATTTTGGCTTTGCGAACGGCATTTCCTGGAATGTTGACCAATATACACATTTTTATTTCCCATTTTAAATAAAGCTGTATCAAGATAAATTTGTATAGGATAGGTGAAGACGAGGATATCTTGATTGATTATCTATTAACACCGACATAATATTCATGAACGGTTTATGTCCAGTGTCCAGAAAAATCTGAGCAATCTCTAGCAAACCAAAAAAAAATATTATAAAAGAATTAAATATATGTTTAGTTGCTTATTTTGAAAAAAAGAATTGAAAATAAAACCGAACTTATTCCACAAGAAACAGTGTTTGTATTTAAAAAAATCTTGTTCGAACTAGATAATGATAAGACTTTAGGACTAGAATATAAGGAAGGAATAATAACAATAATAATAATAATATTTATTGTATAGGAATAGTCATTTACATAATAGATACAATATACTTACACATGTAGAAAACATTTACTCAGAAAAATTCGTCTATACTATAAACAAGGTTCTAAACTTTTGTCTTTTAACTGGAATCGCAGATTGTTAAAAATATGAACGTCTAAATAATCGGGTGATCTCGAAGTCGTTGACAGCCTACAGTAGGGAACATACGGCTTACCGCTCTGTCTTGTAGGCTTAGAACGTACTTCACCAACTAACTTAAAATACTATACATTGTTAAAGGCGTTTCAAAAATCAATAGACTCGCCAGGTGAGAATTTTGTACTGGGCAAATAAACCCCTACAAGATGTAAACTTGGAAATGTGCGCAATACTCCTTTATATAAGTTTTTGAGCCAAAAATACTTTATCGGCATTTACAGATGCTTCCCACAAATTGATCAAATAACGTAATCGTGGCTACACCATAGCATAAATTAAGCAACTATTGCCTAGTTAAAATCTCACGAAGATTTTTAGAGTTTAAATAAGAGTGTCACAGTATTCCAGTTTAAAGATTCATCCAAACTCAATCCTAGGAACCTCACAGCATCCTTACTTGCGATAGTGTCATTGCCCAGTAGTTTGGGTTTTACTTGCGTTGAAATATAGATTAATTTTTCCAAACCATGTCATTAATCTATCGAGTACCCCACAGCACTTCCATCAGAGGTCATCGTCATTCCCACACGACAACACCAAGGAAAGATCATCCGCATACATCACACACACTCACACCTATCACGTAAAATTTTCAAGATACAATTTACATATACAAATACTGTGATAGCAGATATTCGAAAGAAATTGAAATTTTCTCTGAAGTGCCGCAAGGTTCCATTTTGGGGCCGTTATCTTATTTACACTTCTGATATTTTAAAATCTTTCAATTCAAGCTAAACCCATCAAAATCGCATTTAATGATATTTGGAAATAAAAATAAAGTTAAGCTACTTAAACGAAATATTAATATAATGTTAGATAATATTAAACTTTCCGTTGTCGATTCAGCAAAAAATTTAGGGGTGATCATAGATTGTGATCTAAGATTTCGTGAATATTTAATAAATGTCTTTCAAAAGGCATATTTCTCACTAAAAATTTTATATAGTAACAGGCATATTTTAAATTTTAGACTAAGGAAACAATTATGTGACTCACTTGTTCTCTCACATTTTTACTATTGTGATGTAGTGTATGTTTTTTTATTGATAACGAGTGTAAGCAAAGGTTGCAGAATGCTTGTGTTCGTTTTGTTATGGGTCTTCGAAAATATGACCATATCGTCAACTTAATTGGCTTAAAATGGAACAAAGAAGAGGTCTTCATGTCCACATATTCGTTATGAAAATTATTCATAACCTCAATTCACCCACTTTGCTGAGAGAACGGGTTACTCCTAGGAGTACTATCCATTCTGTGAATGTAAGATACAGCTACGGACTAACGATGCCACATCATCAGAGTGCCGTGTTTCTTAGATCTTTCACATTCAACGCAATTCGTGTTTATAATTCTTTGTCACTGGAATTCAGTAACTTAAATTTATACTCATTTAAAAAAAGGTACGAAGATCATTTGTTACCAATACAGTTTTCCTAATAATGTGTTGCTAATTATGTTATTAGCAAGGGATTATATTGACTTATCAAATTTTTTATCTTCAATTGCATTTTCTGTAGTGTGTAGTAGAGTTATGTCGTTCTCTTGATTTTGCAGGTATTTTTCATATTTTATTTGTGGTTTATCCATTTTTTATTTTAATAAATATTGCGCCATTTATTAAATATATAAATAGTTCTTTAGCGGTTCAGTAAAGTAGCTATTTAAAGCTAGACGCTTTTGAGCTATCTGTTTACTTTGTTTTGAAAAATGTTAATATTGTATATTGTTTTTTTTTTGTTAGAATAAAGGCTATTTATTGTTATTATTATTATTATTTTTTTCTCATCGGAAGATGGAGTCCTCTCATGTCGGCTAGGTGAGTAGCAAAACATGAAATGCGCGCTATTGAAGTTGAGGTTGATTAAGAACTCTTCTAATTATGTTGCAAGTAGCTAGTACCACAGACTTCTGCATTTCAAAGTAGGCGCCTGGTTTTACGGTGAGTGTTGTCAGGTTGGTTCTGAGGGACTTTGGTATTTCTCCCATTGCACCGATCACTATAGGAACAATGTTAACCCTATCGACACGCCATGTCTGTTTTATGTCATCCGCTAACGGTACGTATTTTTCTCTTTTTTCAAGTTCTTTCTTCTGCAAGTCGTTAGGTGCGGGAATTGCAACGTCGACGAGGGTCACCCTCTTATTTGCCTTGTCATAAATAAGAATATCTGGCCTGTTATGCTGGACAGTGCGATCGGTCTGAACAGTTCTGTCCCAATATATCCTAAATCCCTCATTTTCAAGCACGGATTCTGGTGAGTATCGGTAGTGCGGACACTTCTCTTTTAGAAGTTTAAGGTTGAAGGCTATTTCCTGATGGACTATCTTGGCTACGTTGTCGTGTCTTGTGGTGTACTCCTTCGGGGCCAGTATCCGGCACCCACTGATGAGGTGCTCAACATTCTCATGGCCCTCTCCACATATGCGACAATTCGTTGTTGTTACTGTCGGATCCTTGATTATGTGTTTAAGATCAGGTCAGCACTGTCAAGCAAGTTTGGGTATCTGCCGTGTAGTTCCTTTCCCCCCTTTATTTTTATTATTATTATTATTATTATTGTTATTACACTTAAACTTAAGGGAGACAAATTCTTCTTCTAAAACCTACTGATTCAGTCTAGAGGCCATCTTGGTTATCTATAAAAATATGTTTTTCTACAAAATACATTAACCCTATTATCAAACTCAGTACTCTTTTTAATAAAAACGTTGGTATGCCATACTGTTCAAAAGACTTTGTTTTTCAATTTATTTTTTTAAAATATACAAGAGCTCATCCTCCATAAAACGCTGATCATTAACATCCCTAATAAAACTCAGACCAATACTTTTGTTATCTAACTGAATGGAACTAACAATATTTTTGGGAGCACCTATAAATAAGTTATTAAATACAGATGCCACAATATTCTCGATTTTATTACTCTGCTTATTCATTACATTAAAATTCTCGTTTCTGGGGAACTGTAAAGATTTCTTGGAGCACTTACAATAATTTAAGATGGTCTTTATTAGTGTTTATTAGATATTCTATTCCATATATATTCTTCTTCATTCCAGAGGCCCATAGCTCCGTAGCTGCTAAGGAAAGAAAAATGGTACCCGACTTTGATATTTTATTTATGACTTTTTAATATGAGATCAGAAATTCGTATTCAGGCATATTGCTTTTCTTTTCCGCGCGGATAGGTCGCTGACTCCGGAATTTTCAATTGTACGTGGGCAGCGGAAAAAAAAAATACTACGCAGCTTCACATAAAACATTTTATTTACATCAATATTTGTATGCTATTTACAATCCAGTCGCGTCGTATACATAAACAAAAAAAATATATATTTTTCTAATAGACATGGAAATTATATTAACTTAAGTGTTCAGTCTTTTACACTTGTGTAAGTATACAGGGTGTTTCATTATAAGATACTGATTCTGCTGAAAATGTTTCTTGCATTATTTTGGCTATGTTTCACTTTATCCCTCGTCCCTTGTTAACCGGTAAAGTTTAACGCCACCTAGGGCGAAATAAGGGCCCCTTTACTAAAGTTTAATGCGTAGGCGGTGAGAAGTTTCGAAAATAGCAAATATCGTGGGTTATGAATAAAAACAGTAAAGATTTGCTTTTCTTTAATTGTAATTGAACTCTCACTTTTTAAGTATTTTTAATTGCCTATTTAGTCTTATGCATCGACTACATCTAATTTCGTCATACCAAAGAAGTCAGTGGCTTGGACCTAAATTTTTGTAGCAGAGACATAGTTTCCTTTTCAATTTTTCGAAAATGCAAACCAAATTCTTTTCGAGTTTGTCGTAATGGTTTCTAACATTGTTTCTAAATTAAAATGAGTTCTGTCTGGAACCTCATTCATAATATTTCGTACAAGGCTGCCCACAAACAAGAACATATTGAAATCAAACGTCAGGAAAATTATGTTTTAACTTGTTAATCAAGTGACGTAAGCATGAAGACGTGCAAAAATTTTCTAAAATCTAAAACAGTTTCTTGTACTGAAGTGGCTTTTACTTGATGAAAATCCATTTAAAATAGTTAAATAAGAACAAACGTTCAAATTTTCATATAAATTTTAAAATATAATTTTAAATGACAACTGTTTATCAAATACGAATATCAAACGGTACCGATGTTTATAAATACAAAACAGGTAGTAATTAGTTATTGTGATGTATTACATTGTGATTTAACAAGGGGGATCCATTCAAATCCAGTTGGTTATTAAGTAATACATTCGAACATCTCATCTTATTAATCTCCATAGCTTCTAGTAAATTTAATTATCTACTTTTTGAAACAGTGTGTAAAATATCGAAATTTTCGTCAAAATTGTGTTTTTCTAAATTTTAATTATATACATTTAAATTTAGAAAAACACAATTTCGATATTTTACACGCTGTTTCAAAAAGTAGAAAATTAGATTTACTAGAAGCTATGGAGATGAGAGGTTCGAATGTATTACTTATTGACCAACGGGTTTTGAATGGATCCCCCTTGCTAAATCTCAACGTAATACCTCGAGTAATTACTACCTGTTTTGTATTTATAAACATCGGTACCCTTTGATATTCGCATTTGATAAATTCACGGTGTTGCCGAAATAGCTGTCATTTAAATATTTTTTATGTGAAAATCTGAACGTTTGTTCTTATTTAACTATGTTAAAACAATTCATTGAAAACGAGGAAAATCTCGTTCACACACATGCTATGTAACAAAAATATAGCGACAAAGTTTGACACCCTCTAGGATTGGCATCTTATTATGAAACACCCTGTAGTCAAAGTTTGAATAAATAAAATTTTCGTCCCTTACTATCTAACCAGTAATTGCGTCAACGTTCTCGTTTGTTTGTTTTTTCTTCAGTTAGCCTTTTTCCCTTCGTTTATCGTACAAAAATAGTCTTTTGAGTGCAGCGATATAACCGAGCGTATAGACTTCCCCACACAATTATCTAAAGTTAATTAATGCTCTTAAAGTACAGGTAGAAATCGTTTTAAACACCGCGCTATACGGGTGGTTTAAAAAAAATAGATTACAGGATTCGGTTTGTTGAAGGACTTCATTCTCCAGACGCGGCGAGGATTTACTCGGTAATCTCCCGCCACGTTAGGATATGACAAATGAGAGAGAGAGACGGGTAGGTTTTGAAAGCTTTTTCGCTAAACGTAAAGGCGTAGTGGATCATTAACAATTCATTATTTTAAACTTTGGGTATGTGTTATAATTGCTGCTAGAAAATCATTGCTTGTTTTGTGCAATTTTTCCGAATTTGGTCTGAAAATTCTGAATTTGACAGTTAATTTGAATTAATTAATTTTAAAATCGGTTTCTTTCATACGATAATCTGGATCGTGAAGTGTTGCTTCATTTTCCGAAATGATGGCTTTGCTTTCTTCTCAATTAAGGTTTGTATTATGAGAATATCGAATTTTGCAGGTAATTATTAAGATTACTAATGTTTTGTTAATTTTTTTTCATTTCTTGGTTTTTCTTCTTTTATAAAGCGTATCTGAGGTTTCCGTCATTTTGAATAATTTTGACAGACCTTTATCTTATGCAGGTTGGATGCTTTAGGCACAAATTCCGACAATTAATAGGAAACCATTTTTTGTGCAAAATTACGTCGTTTCCCTAGACACAAGATGTAAAATTTTTTTTATCACACTTTTATTATTGCTTCATATTTTTTTTACCAAGTTTGTTTTATTCTATCCTTGCCAACGACATCTGTAATGAGTTAAAAAAACAGTTACCGGTCAGTTCTTTTAAAAATAAAAATTATTTTTGAAGTTCACATTTTTTTTTACGAAATCAAAGTTAATTATTTAAGGTTCCGATAATTTTTGCGAAATATTGTAAAATATCATTAAAAGATTTTTTGCCTCACTCTCTTTTTGATTTGTCTTATTCTTTGAATGTTTTCCCATCAATTTTAAGAATTTGTCACCAACCATCGTGTTATTTAACGTTTTTTTTTATGTTTTTTTTTTAATTAAACAGACCATTTTACAGTACACCATCGTTAAAAATCTCGGTTAAAATTTTATTCCAAACGAGGACGCCACATCGCAAACTTAACGCCAAGTTTAACGCGTGGCCCTAACTTCGCCCTTAGACGTGGAAAATCGTCTTTTAATCACTCGCGATCCGGAAATTGTACTCGAAAGTTTGAGAATACGTTAATATCGACACCCGGAGTCGCCCAGGAAGCTTATTTTCGAATTAAGCGCCCCCTCTCCATCTCTCTTGATTCGTTCGAAGCCTTTAAATTCCACTAAATCCCCCGCGCTATTGTCTCAACTTTAATAAATATAACGAGCACTTTTCCTGACGTAAACTGAGGCGGAACAATGAAAACGAAAAAAATTTTTCGGTCCTTCGAGCCGGATTTCATCGGTAATGTGCTATCAAAGCGTCGCGATTACGTTTAATAAAACATTTTTGTCGGACGCACGCCACTGACCGCTAAGGCCGTGCCCATATATTTTTTATCCTTTCAGTTAACGCGGCCCTCCGAATAATAAAATTTATTTTACGCCTCTCTTTTTTCGGTTTACTTTGTATCCTTCAGGCCGTTACTCCTCATTCTCCGGATTTCGACCCGGAGGCGGCGGCCACGCAATTCGTCGCGATTACGTCACTTCCGATAAATATTGCCGCCCGCGTAGAAGAATTTCGATAAATATTTCGGTCCCGCCCCCGCACGGTCCCGGGACGACACTCCAGGGCGACCCCTGCGACCTTGATTCTACCCCTCCTCTCCCGAGCATCGGAGGGAAAAAGTAAAGATATCTGTTCCGGTTTCGCACTCGCCGCTCTTCCTCACTCGTAAAATTTCATCGCACTGATGGAAATGTGATTTTCGTGTCGCCGGCCCGAAGCGTTAGTAGATATGCGAGGGCGATTCTGCGACACCTGACCGATTGACGTTTCGAGTTTGCGACGCGACGCAACGTTGTGCCAATTATCGCAGACGCGACATAACGTAGAAAAGATTGTTGACAATGACTAGAACAATTTGGTCCAAGAATCCCTTACGAGGTACGATTAAAACTATCTTTACAGAGCGTGTCATTAACGATACGCCTACACCTAAATTGACCTAAATACCTCCGATTCGAAAGTTCAACTTTTTTGTAATTGTGATTATACATAATGTCACATAAGTTGACGTTAATCTAAAAAACTGGAAAACGTACCCTAGGCGGTAAATTTGGGATCTTAACTAAATTTTTTAGCTTCAAGTTCATGAAAAGGAAAATAGTCCTAGCAAGAAGTTATTCCATGCCACGCTGCGGTTAAATCCGGAGATAACCAACGCCCTCTTTGAACTAGTTAAACATGGTCATTTTAAAGACCCTGTACTTAACAAACTGTCTAAATTTTGGGATTGGATAATTGATGTATCTCCAGTATACGTACGTTAATGAAACGTCCTGTTTATACATTCACGTTATCTAATATTAATAGTCCGATACAGAGGATGATCCGTAACACACATTTTGGTAGACTTTGACATCGGTCACGTATCCGAGGGAGAAAGAGTCGAAAAAGGGTGCGTGTACAATAAACCCCTATACGAAATGGCTACGTAAACCTACTGAGCAATGAAAAATATACTTGGGCAAGTGACATTTATGGGCTATTATATACAGGAAAACGTATCCCCACTTGTTTTTACGATCTGATATCACCACAGAACAGCGGCGCTTACGGGGTGGATTTGTGTCGCGTAAAAAGACGACATTTGACTTGAGACCGGCCCGACATATAAAACGTTCTCGACGGACTAGAATAAGTCGGAGCGATCCCGTTTCCGTATTCGCATTTTCTGCAATTCTTTTCTATAAAAAGTCAGCCGTCGAAGCAATCTTTTTATGGCACACGCGTCTTCCATAGTCTCACTAAATAAATGAGAGAAAGCAGAGACGATGTTTTCGCGATACATTTGCTTTGCATCGCAAAACAAATCGCGATGTCTATTTACATAATCTCAAAGGGATGCCGGAGCGAAAAACTTGAAATCAACTTATCGGCCAATTACAAATTTTTTTTGGAACGATATGCCTTTTTTAGTTACACGAAAGTCCGTTCTCAGAAATTTTCCTTTTCGTAAAGCTTTTATGGCAACACATAGGCAACGATACCCGACACGCCCTACAAAGCGCCGGAATGTCTTTTATTCGGTTGATATGACGTGGCGGCAACAAACGAAAAGCTTTAAGGGCCGTCGAGCGAAATATTGAAGAATCGAAGCGCTGCGCGATCTATAAACCCCACGCGCCTAAATCAACAATGCCCCCTAATTTGAATCGAGTAATGAACGTCAAATTGCCTGGGCGTGTCTCCGCAATCTCTCACCCTCGCGAACACTATAGAAATCTTTGGGGTGGGTCCCGGAGCTGGCGCGGGCATTTTCCGGATCGTCCGCTACTTGACATTTCGATTTCACACGTCCGTTTGCAGCCTATGTCATTCGGGCATTAGGGTTTGGGTCGTGTACGTGCTCACTTCTTTGTTGGTCCTGTTGATGGGGTAATAGACGCACGGGCCTGCAACAAAAAAATACTATAAATTCGTGGACCCGAAGTTCGACGTCTCGGGGGATTTTTCAAGGTCGATTTAATCGTATATTTATTGGTCAGAGAGTCGTTTTTATACAACGTGGCTTATACGCACCGGGGCTAGGCGTTTTACCGCTTTTCCTGCTGTCACTGGTCCCGTTCATTCTGCCGCTGTGCCTGCTTCCGTTTCGACTGATGCTCGTGCCTTGGCGCTGAAGCCTGGAATTAAAAGATTTGCGCTTAGTTGGTTGGTCAGTTGGTACAATGAAACACAAAATATTCTTATACTTTTTATACATTATTTGACACTTTTTTACTTCTGGCTTCATATCAAGCTCATTAGAAATATTGACAAGATGTTAACAATATTTCAATTCGTAGTTGCACATCTTGGTTATATTAGCTCTCGGTGCTAATCTCACACTACAACACCCAGCGATCGCCATAACCGTTACCCCTAAGTGTTAAAGGCGTTTCGAAAACATGTTTGCTTCCTCTACTATTATTATTAATTTTTCCCGACGCTGAACTTTCGTGGTTGTTCGAAACGATGTCCACGCTGCAAATGTGAACCGTCAGATTTAAAGAGCGATGGTTGCCTTTAAATTGCGAAAGACGCTCTTCATCCCCTCAGATGACACTTTTGTCGTTTTCGGGATAGTAATGGATTGTCCTATCACGACGGAGGTCCTAATATAAAGATGGGATATGGCACTCTACTACAAATTTACGACAATTTGATGGATTGTTTTAGCAGAACCAAAATACGGAAGGACGATTATTTTGTTTCCAAAAGGGCTGTAGCGAAAGGTTTTCTCACCCTCCGCTTTTGGCTGTATACATTTTCCTCCGCTCTCGATATTTCCCGTTGAAAATTCCTTCGTGCCGGAATGGGCGTGCGGAATTTTGCAATCTCCGACATAAAAGGTGCGTAGATATTTGATTGATCGATGTGTTTTGAAATATATCCGCGTATCGCGCGGTAATCGGTCCACCAAATTAGGTTGGCGGTTTAACATGTCGGGCTTGAATCTCTATTTTATGCGTATTATATAATTCAGTAGCTAAATAAAAAAGAAGCGTTACGGACTTGACAGTCGCGAAATGAATGGTCTGCATGGGTGGTGACCTAAAACTACGCGATCAAGAAAACATTTTGCTTGATAAATGGAGTTTTCGTAATTCGCTTTGGTTTCGTCATCGACGAGGAAGTTCAAAGAATGCGGAAATCTGAGTGAATTTTTATTTTGTATTTGTATTCTCAAATCAGCATATCTAAAGAGATGATGATCTTTTAGTAAATTTTTTTCATCGTCCGCATCGATCATAAATTAACACAATTCAACCTAATTAACCTCGATGGGGTTTGTTATCGTGCCCCTTAAAATCGCCACTCCCTTTCTCTGCGTTTAATTAGTGGACTTAATTGCTTGTCTGTTAACGAAAACGAATTACCAGACACGTCGCACCCTAACCGCAAACCGAATGGTCGCCGAGTCCGAACAGAGAGACCTCGCGGCTGCAGCCACCGCCCGGAGATCCCGAAGGGAATTATTCTTCGGCAACTAATTTCGAACTTATTGTTTCAAAGAATGGGCGCGAATGACCGACAAAACGGCAACCCCATTTTGCAAGGGAGTGATATTAAATTCCTACGAATCATGAGTCGTCGCCCGAGCTTCGCATATAATACGTAGGAGGCGCTGATGAGGTTTGTTTCGAGCTACGCACGCTGAATTTATAATGAGCCTTCTCTCTAATGAGTTTTTAGTTTTTGCGCGTGTTATGTTACGACTCGAAGTAAAAATATTCCTTGATTTTTTGGTTGCAAAAAAAAACCCGACGTCATTTGAAATAAGAATCTGGTATTACTGTACTTCTTTCCCAACTATATGATCTGTAGAATATTGGAAAAAAGTTCACGCCTAAGATATAACATATATAATATATAGTCTTGTTCTAGAATGCTTCAATCTTCTTTGACATGACAATCAATGACACCAAAGTAAAAGGCACACTGAATTTATCCCACAACAATTTTATAAATAGTGAAGGGTCGCTTACCTAAAGCTTCTGTCTCCGTTTGAAACGAAACTATCGTCGTGAGTGGCTCCATCCGGTGACTCCCTGCCGGGAAAGAAGAGCGAGTTGTGGCAGAACAGCACCAGAAACAGTCTTTGGAATTTCTCGCCGAATATCACGTAAATGATGAAGTTGACGCTGCTGTTTATCGTCACCAACAAATTGCTGAGGTTGATCATCATCGTGATGTCGAATACGTCTTCGGTGGGTATCTTGAACGTCTCGACAATGTTGATGACCATCGGTAGCAGGTTGCAGACGAAGAAGACGGCCACGACGCACATGAGCATCGTCGCCAGACCGATCTCGCGCTGCTGGAGTCGCGACAACCTCTGCCGTTCCCTGTTCGCTTTTAAAACCTGCCAGGATTAACTAATGAGAAAAAAAAGGCGATATCTAACTTGAAAATGTTTGTTACACGTTCGACCTAGTTTTCCGAAAGACAAAGAGAGACGACAAACTGATGAACCTACCGACGCTGCGGAAGTAGAACGCGATACGAGGAAAAAAAAAGAGCCCGTTAATGAGAAAAGTTTTCCGAGTTTCGTTGTCGTTGAAATATTACGCAATACATTCGAGATTATCATCTGAAAGTGAGTTATTTGTCGGTTATCTCTTGTGGCGCGGATTTTGCGGGTTAAAAAAAATGAAGGAGGAATACGTTACCGCCAACCTACTCCAAGCAATAGAAGAAGATATCGGTACCGAGAAATTCTGAATTTTTATTTTTCTTAATACAAGATAGAACTGCGCCCCAAGAATTTATGATGTAGGGACTTTTTGATCATCTCTATAACTCATAAAACCTGGATTTTCTTTCAAAGGACCTGAATAAAAGCGTCCTGGTTCTATTATGAATTGTCTGCATTTCTTTTGTCGGAACAAAAGTTTAATGTTCAACAGCCATGACAATCGAACTGAATTGAGTCAATAATGCCAGAGAAAGAATGCACAAGCCAATTATTTTTACAGTTATTTTGGCTCTCTAAAGTTTGACAAGTCCTCGGTTGAAGCTAATTAAAGGCCCATTTCAGATCGATGGTGGAGTGCTTTGGTTTTGCATCGAAGCCGGTTGAATTAAATCGTGATTGCGAATTTTTTTCGAAAAACCGTCGTCCTTACCTGTCTATAGATGGCACCATTGAGCACAGCTAGCGATATGAACGGCAACAGGTACATGCAGATCAGGTACAGCCAGTGAATGTAGATTGTCTGGTACAGTTCGTTGTCGCGAAACGCGGACTGTATTGGACAATAGACGGTCATGTTGAATGTGTCGCTCCATTCGGACTTGATCTCGCCCTCCCAGAGGCGTGGCGCGTTGTACATGGTCGAGAATATGACGATAGCGATCACGTAAGTACGCGCGCGTCCGTACGTGCATAGCGAACGCGCCCTCAACGGGTGACAAACGGCGACGTACCGTTCCAACGAGACCGTCATCGTCAGGTACACCGAAGCCGTTTGCATCACGGTCGCCAGCGGATAGACGAACGGCGCGATATGGGGATACACTCTGAAAACGAATGACACGCTCGTGAATGCATCCAGAAAAGCGTGGCTTCATTAACGACATATGGGACGTGACTAAGTTAACGACACTAGTATAGTAAATTTACAAATAAATAGAGCAACGAGTTTTTTTTACAGTTGTCGCCATTTCTCGCAGCCTTCATGTGCTTGTAGTCCTTTATCCACCATTGCACAGTTTACTTCTTGCTTCCACGATTTTCTTGGTATACCCCTTTTTCTGCGATTGGTGGGGTTCGATTGTAAGAGTCGTTTTGGCCGTCGCTGATCATTCATACTTTCGACGTCGCTATGTCAATATGTATGCCCATTTGCTCTCTAATTGCAGTATTTTTCACCATGTCCCTTCTAGTTAGTCGGCAGCATCTGTACCAAAAAATCATTTCCATAGCTTTTATTTGAGATGCGACTTTTTTTATTTATTACCGAAAGCTCTGTGCCATTTGCTGCAATATTTTCAATGATACTTTTATACATTCTAATTTTTATATTCCGAGCGATGTGGTTAGAGTGTATTTAGTTGGCGTATTGCTGCGTTACCTTGTGCAATGCTAGTTGCTATTTCCTTTTTATTATGGCTATCATTTGTTACTAGTACACCAAGGCATTTGTAACTATCAGCATTTTTAATTTATATGCCTCTTAATTCTAAATGTCGACCTTCATTTCCCACCACTAGCATACTCTGTTTGGGATGGGTTAATTGTTAAACCCCACCAACATGTAGTAAAATCTTCCTCATCTGCAAATCTGCAAAATGAACCCTTAAAGCTTATGATCTGCAATTGCAATTTCTTTTCCAGATTTGCAAGACCCCCTGCAAATAAATCCTAAAGAGTGTAGGTGCAACGCAGCAGCCTTTTGGAAGTCCTTTTCTCACCTTTATTTTTCTGGTTGCTTTTTGTTTAATCTTTCTTAAACTCGTCATATTATAGTCAAACTCTTTCACTTCATTAATGTATATTAGTGGAATTTTATTGTCTTGTAACACTTCATATGTGTCTCCATATTGTGTTCCAAACGCTTTTCTAATATTTGTTTTTGGCTAAACACGATGCCTATACAAGAACGCTCAGCACGTAAGCGATTTTGATCTTTACCGCCCTCTCAACAATCTTCAATTCTGCTTTTAATTATCTTCTCATGCATCCTGCAAATTGAGTTGGTTACACTAAGCCTCCGGCAATTTGTACACTCCTTTCTGTCACCTTTACTCTTGTGTATATTGCTGAATCTATTCCGTGGATATTTCTTCACCTCTCAGGTATAAGTCAATAATTTAAATAATTTGTCAGAACCATATTTAATTCGTTCTATAGGTACTCCCCACAGGCCTGAAGCGTTTCCATTTTTCATTTAATTTAATTTCTCCTAGTGTTATTTCAGTTTCTTCGTAGTAGGAAAAATCATGTTTCTGGTGGTCAATATCTTGAAATTCCGATCGGTCTTCTGTCAACATTTTTTCATAATATTCTACCCATCTTTCCGGAGAGATCACGTTTAACCTACTACTACTACTGTAATTATTACCGTACTACCTTTAATTGTTTTCCAGCCTCCTATACTTCTTGTGTTACCCTATGTTATCGCAGGCTTTATTTTATTTATTTATTTAAGCTACAATACTGTTGTCGATCCTCTATTTTTTATTCCACAATTGATTTCTACTCTTTTTCCTATCCACTTCTCTAATAGCAATCTCATTCCATATAAAAACTGGGTGGAATGTGGTGAATGGTGAATGACACATCCACAATGGATGTGTCACTCACTGCCACGACCGTTTATCGATAATGCAAAAATGAAAATTATAAAAAAGCGTTAATCAGGGTCTTCTTAGTTTTAGGTATTTTGTCCCCGTCCGCTGCTTTTTATAAAGGAATGATGCCTGGATTTTAAAACAAGATTGCTTTAGTTTCAACATTAAGTCGGCAGTAAGAAAATAGTTGGGAAGCTTCTGAAAGCGAAACGGGTAATTGCTTCTTTTACGTCGGCTGTAAACTTGGTTTTATGAGATCTCGAAGCTACTTTAATTAGTCCGAATAACGCCGTCGTTTTGCCGCCAGTCCACTCACCTAAAATAATAGAGAAACAAATGTTTGCTGTAAGGATAGATCCCGGGTAGACCGAACAGCAAAATACTGGTAATGATGAGCACGGTGTCGATCCTGGCAAGTCCGATCAGCAGGTAATTGATGCTGGACCGCATCTGGGGACGCGACAGGATGATCATCGATATGAGGTTGCCGAGTATCCCGAAGCATCCGATCACGTTGAGCAGGATGCCGTTGGTGACGAATCGGAAAAAGTTCCATTTCTCGATGCCGGGATCGTCGTTTACCCAGTCGAGACACGAATCGTTGTAGAGGTCGTAGTCGGGCGATGGTTCCAGGGTCGTCGTCACATTGACGTCGTCCGTTACCATGGTCGCGTCACTTCATTTACGAAGTTTGGTTCTCTTCATGGTCGTTTTATTTGGTTCTCTTGTCGTGACTCTGGTATAATTCCTCGAACGTGCTGATAGGCCAGGATAACGAACGATGTGCCATGTTCTGAAACAAAAATATATTTATGTAGTTTAAAATGGAAATATTTATTTATTCACGGTTCAAGGCCATATCAAAATTAGAGTAGAGTATTCTAAATCTAAAAGTAAAGTGTTTAATACAATTTAATAAAAGCATGTGTGTTCGACAGGTAATATCTGTACTAATATTATAGTCTGAAACTGGATCTTAAAAAGACAAAATTAATGGTAATATCAGAAAAACAAACTGTTACTGCTGACTACTGAGAATATCTAAAACAAAAATTGGGGGCCTTGATTACTCAAAATAACGAACAAATTGGAGAAATTAAAGGTAGAATAGAAATAGTAAGACAGACTTTTATTAAAATGGAAAGGTTTCGATATTTTCGAGACATCAGCTTAAATTTGAGAATGCTTCATTGCTATGTTTTCTTCGTATTGTTGTATGGTATGGCGGCATGGACTCTGAAAGATAACAATTTCAAAAACATTGAAGCATTTGAAATGTGATGCTATAGGAGAATGTGGAGAACATCATGGACGAAGAGAGTGACAAACAAGGATGTGCTGTAAAGAATAGGGAAAGAAGGTGAACTAATAAAAACTATAAAAAGAAGAAAATTGGGATATCTTTGTCATATAATGAGGGGCGAAAGATACAAGCTGTTGAGGCTTATCATTTAAAGAAAGATCAAGGAAAAGAGAAGTGTAGGACGTAGGAGAACTTCCTGGTTGAAAAATCTGAATGGTTGATATGAATGAAGCTCCACAAAATTGTGCAGAGCCGTAGTCAGTAAAGTTAGAATAGCGATGATGATTTCCAACCTCCGGTAGGAGTAGGAATCTTAACAAGAAGGAGGAAAAAAGATAAAACAAAACTATTATTTCAAGTTAGGCCAAAGACTAAAATAATTAGAAAGTGAGACAGACCAGCGACAATACAAATAATCTAAAGAGCCCAGTCTGTCCACACACTGTATATTTTATTTTCCTATTATTTCCTTAATAATTTTCACTTCCTCTAAATTTATAAATTACTCTAAGCTACCTTCAATAGCTGAGATCTGTTTCAATTTAAAACCACGCCAGTATGTTTTTCCTCACGCAAATCAACAATAATTCGCGATCGAGGGAAGGGATTCAAAGGAAGCGTATTATTGCGAGTTTGTCACTTTACTGGGCTATCGAAGGAAGTTATAGCCGGAACAAGTTCATCTAGCTGGACTCATAGAGTCAACCTGACATTCATTCTGCTGTGTAATTATTAGGAGTAACAATTTTCATAAATGTTTCTGTTATAATGAAAGACAGAGGTCCAGATGGGACTATGATTTGAGAAGTAAAGTTAAGCTAGCTAACTTTTAACTCAAGATTCAAGACCCTTGGAGAGGCCTGTGTATATGATATACATCTCTTCAAGGTTTTTCCTATTGATGAATTCCTTTTATAGTGATATTGCTCAGAGATAATTTCAAAACCCAATCATGATGATAATTTCAAAAAAGTTTGCAATTTCGTTGATCCGCTTTTTAAAATTTTTGGAACCCCGTCGCAAGTCGGGAAACTTGTACCCGACGAAAGCCGTTAAAGTTGTACGTCGGTAAAGGTCAAAAGTCTCGACTTGCAGGGGTGTATTGTCTCGCGTAAGCCCCAGAAGTTTGTCGCTCCATATGGCGCGAACGTATCGGATTTGGCGTCGCCCACATTGAGACGCCGGAATTCCCCGAAGGAAACGGGACAAGCGCGAACAAAAAGTCCGAAAGTTAAGACCCGATGGCGTCTAGTTTCGAACGAGCACCTCCTCGGAATTTAATAACGTTATTTCGTGCAGAAAAAGAGACGAGTGTCGGCTTTAAATTTAGCGTCGGACGAACGAACGATAAGACGCGCCACTCGCTGCCGGCATTCCTAGACAAAGCGTCCCTTTTTATTCCCCCGCATAATCGTCGACGATATTATGCGAAAGTAAGCGTTCTTTATTTACCCACGTCCTTTGGAGGGTGGAACTCCAAAGTGTCAACTACAAATTGGGGATGGAATAATTTCCTGTTCTGTTGAAGCACCTAGCAGTATTTCTCATCTTAACTTCTTCTGATCGATATTGCATGGTCAGTTTTTTAAATGGCGCTTTTTGTCGATATTTAGTTACCGTCCAAATCACTGCATGAATCTGTACGAATCAAACACAACTTGCTGAGAGATAAATTTCTCTTGTGGCTTTTTCCTGAAGTAAATCGGGCTGTTCTTTCATTTTAAAGGATAAACATTAATTATCTCCCCTAAAGCCACTTATCTTCTAAAGTATTTGCATGAGCTTGAGTATGTGAAAGAAAGTACAGTCGCGATGTCACGCGGATCCTTCTAATGAGTGTAAATTTTGTGCTAAGTTTACTTCTGCAAGTGATGTAGTTCTTCACGTGAAATGCTTCGAGTCAATTTCCAAAATTATCGATGTCAACAAGAACACCTTCCTTTGTCGTATGTGCCATGCCAACGAAAAAGTTGTTTATTGTTGTCAAGATAATGAATGCCTTGATTAGCTTAAGTTGCCCTACAGAGAAAAATTGGTGATTCTTACTATATAGGAGGACCTAAAAAACTAAATCCAATATATATAAATCAGGTTGAAACTGCTAACTTTTCAAATAGTTTGATTTACTATTACATTTATCTATTATGCCATATTTCATTTACCAATGTAATTATACTTTGATATTATAATATAGTAGTTTTTGCTAGACATCGCCTCTTCTCTATTGTATATTTGTATATAACAATATACAACAACAAAGTCAATTTAATATTATCATTATTATTACATTGTCATTGCTTTGTTTTCAAGACACTTTCATGAGGAATTTTTTTCTTTTTTTAATATTTTTTTTATATAATATTACTATCCACTACTACCCTTTAATTCCATCGTAGATAAATCGACACTATTGCGTCGTTCGGAGAAAAATCTTCGTCGAAGTTGTAATTATTTGCCCCAATTAAAAATGCTTCGGGCTCGGCTCGAGAAGGATTAAGCGTCGGGAAATTTAATTTTCTCGGGCGGGGACCGCGATTTTCTTGAAACTTTTAATTGGAAAGTACAATATTTACATTCACGCAGGCGTTTAACGTTGTCAAACATCGCAAATTGCTCCGTCGTAGTCGCGAACGTCGAGGCGACTAAAACCCTCGAAAGAAAATCGTTTTGATTTTAAAACGTTTTGTTGTCGCCGTCGTCATTTCGTGTTTTCCCTTTCGTGACGCGACGCGAAATTACCTTTCCCGACGAGCATTAGTTACAACCTCGGACACGTGCTGATTGTTAGACGTAAAAAATGTCCCTGTCGGAAACACCCGCGTGTGGGAAGCCTCAACGTAGTCCTCTTACAGGACTAGTTATTTCAACCAGTCATAATATAATTCGACCAAGTAGGGTCAGCTTTTTCGATCAAATCGGTCAAATTGTTAAAAATCTGGTTAAGAATATACTGGTCTTACTCGACTTCTTAAAAGTATTCGATTAAGTCGATGCTCTAACAAAAGTGCTGGAGATTCACCACTCGATCTGTTTTTTTTTTAATTAAATATATTCACATGACATTTGTTTCGACAACACCGTGTCTTTATCAAATGTAAGATTTACAAACTACCTGCTACTATATATACCGAAAAATGACAATCAAACTTTAATTGATGTTGTGAGAATTTAAGTGTGTGTTTTTAAATGCTTTTTTATATTCGTTACTGCGTTTCTTGAAGGATCTATCTGTTTGTCCAATATAAATTTTAGGACAAGATCCGCATTTCAACCCGTAGATACCTGATTTTTGGGATTGTGGATATTTCGTTTTATTGTTCTTTAAAAAATTACGTTGTTAGTTCGGAAAGCTATTTTTAAAGCACATTTTGACAAATGTTTTGAAACTTTTTCGCTAGGTTCTCATATGTATGTAATTGTTTTAAATGTTCGTGTTCTGTATTAAGTTTCAGTTAAATAGAGTTTACTGTTCTCTGGATTTGTTTTTTATTTAACTTTATCGATAATGGACGGATTGTAGCCGTGTTCAGTGCAATCCGTTTAATGATATTAAGTTCTTTGTTGTAATTTTCTGTTGAGAGTGGTGTATTAAGAAGTCTGTGTATAAAAGAGTGAAATGCAGCCATTTTGGGTGATTTGTTTATAAGGGTGATTGTCTTACATTGTCACACATAAGAGCTCAAATCACCCCTATACACACAAAATGACCGCATTTCATTCTTTTATACACATACCTCTTAGGACGGGTAGATCCTTCAAGAAACCCATTAACAAACATAAAAGAGCTTTTAAAAACAATAGTCTAGATTCTTATTATGCTACACACTTAAACACAGAAAAACACATTTTTGATGACAATTTTGATGAAGTAGAAAATTAAATTTATTAAACTTAAATTCTCACGATAAAATTATTTAACGTTTTATTGTCATTTTTCGGTATATATAGTAGCAGGTAGTTTGTAAATATTACATTTGATAAACACACGGTGTTATACACTTGTCCAGATATACTTTAATAGATTTTGTCAATTATTGAGGACCGAAAATCTTAAAATCTAATCATTTCTCTAAAGGCGAGAGACAAACTAATTACGCATAATTCTTGTAAATTTGAACTTATTCCTATAATCATTAAAGTGAGGATTTTATGTAAAAAACATCTTGAACAAAATATTTTGGATATAATCTATTTAGAATGCAATAATTAGATTAACGATATAAAGAAATTACATATTTCGCTTAGAATGAAACTTTGGTACTTGTTATTTGCTTTTTAATTTTGTTTATCTTAAACATGCCGGACATTTCAGTCAATGTGACAACAGGGCGTTGCACGCCAAAGCGTTTCTGCTAGAGGAGTAACAATTTTGTAGCGTTACGGCGTAGACGTTGGGTCGCAACGTCGCCGCAATGTGAGATACAGTCCATTTATAGTAACAAAAATTCGATAAATATTAAGTGATTGAGGAAACGCTTGTATTATCGAAC